CACAAATTACACCAGGCGAGAGACAAAAGTTGGGTAAAAATCCAATGTCATTACAGCAGGCAAAATATATTCTCAATCTTTTCATGTTGTCATGTGTTTTAAGATTAAATATGTATTCGGATCAATTACGTTCACATGGTATATAACATGATATGCAATAATTAGAGTGTTTCTCTTCCTCCAACTCACTCTCAACTGCTTTATTTTATTTTTTTTAAAATTAATATATATCCAAACTAAATTGCACGAGTTCGTCGAGGAGGACATGCATAATTTTTTTAAGACCACATGCATTTTTTTTGTTGGGTAGGCTCACGGTATCTATGCCAATAAAAATGACTAATCCCCTCATACTGTGTTTTAGTGCTAATCATGAGACCCTTTCTATACACACTATACACACTGTAGGGATTAAACCCCTGACTAGATGTTTAAAGAACCTAGATAAGTGCTAACTGTGCTATCCACATGCATACTTCTCTGGTCCTATTTATAAATTATTTCTAATACTTTTCACACAGACCAAGAAAAACTTTAAACTTTATTAATTCTCATTTGAAATTCAACAACTTTTCAACTTTATTCCTATTTAATATACATTATGCCTCATATAAATAAAGTCAACCATAACAAATTAAGGGTAAAATTATACATTCATACCAAAAATTCCTCTCAATGCTTTATAAATAGTACCAAAAAATGTCTTCTTTCTCTGCCACATAAATAAAATCAGAGGAGTAATATTTTAATTCCAGATTCCTGTCAACTGATAACTCCTGAACCAACGGAACTGTCAACCGCATAGGGTTAACCTCAATACAACGGGTGAGAATTAGTTCGCATTTATGAAGAGAATCCAAATGCCCTTGAGGGACAAGCACGTTAAACTCAAACACAATCCTATGCGGGGGAACATCCGTTGGTTCAGGGCTTTTAATTAAAGTCAACAATATTAAAATATTTGGCCCAAAAAAAACAATATTAAAATAAAATACTGTGCAACGTATAAAATAGGAAAATAGGAAAACTTTACCATTTTATGATAAATTTAATGAGTAAATTTTTATTTCATGGTATGTGAAAAAAGTTAACCAATTTCTTATATTATGAACTGAAAGGAGTTTTTTTTTTGGGCTATCCATGGGCCTTTTCTTTCCTTGGTATATCAGAAAAGTTAACCAATTTTTTATATTATAAACCAAAAGGAGTAGTGTTTTTTTTTTTGGCTACATGTAGGTATTTTATTTCTTAATATGTAAGAAAAGTCAACTAATTTTTTATATTATGAATCAGAAGGAGTAGTATTTTTTTTTTTAATTATGAAACAAACTAAAGGATTACATCAGGCAAAGAAAGGATCCCCGATTACCCATGCATCAACATGAAAATTAGAGGCCCATTGTGCACGACAATAGAAATATAGCCCAAACATAAGGAACTGAAACAACAAACCTAAAGGAACCCATAGGAGGCGCATAACACTGCAAGTTTGAAAGAATGACAAGGCCATTTTTTATTGTCATTCACAACTTTCATTGAGGTAATGATCACATTTTATTATCTACGAACAATTTCGTTTAACATGCAACAAGATCACTCTTTCAGGGTCATTCACAACTTTTGTTCATATATTAACTACATTTCTTTAGTTACTAACAACTTTCATGTAGTAAGTAATAAGGTCACTCATGTCATTCACAACTTGTGTTTATGTATTAACTACATTTCATTAGTTATTACAAATAAAAATTCAGTCAATATTTAATTACAAATAAAAATATTTGTAATCCGTTGCAAATTTAGTTAGTGATGGAAAAAAATTCTCGCTGGTAATTTTGTTTCTAAATGAAGATTCCATCATTAAATTTCTTTAATAATCACATTTTTTTGGCTTAAGGTGCCAACTTGTTCTGAAAGTTTTCACTGAGAAGCACTGGGTACCCAAAAGTTTTTCTGGGAGCAAATTTGCCCTGAAAATTTAAAATCATGGCAATATTGTCTCTTACTGTTAAAAATATTAACAGTCAACGTTACTATTTTAATGGTCAATGTCTTTTAATGGTAGGGAGAAATATTGCTATGATTTTAAATTTTGGAAGTAAATTTGCTTTCAAAAAAATTTGAATACCCAGTATTCCTAAGTGAAAACTTTCGAGGTAAATTTGCACATTAACCCTATTTTTACTGTAGTGAGACTCTGTATGATGGATGTAAATATGTGTAGTTTCTAGTTCTTAGTTGTCAGGTTCTTTAATTAAATCATAGCAACTCGAAGCAGGGATTTGCAGAGATTTTGGAATATCGACAACCAGAAGAGGATGAGGAAGATGAATTGACCGGAGGCATAGTAAGTTTGAGAATGAAGGAGGAAAGAAGACGGCTTGGAAATCCAATGCAAGGCTCTCTAGCGGGGATGGTGCCCAGGTCTTTGTCGGTGAAGGAATAAGATAATGTTGACATGGAAGATAGAAACAAAAAAAAATTTCACTGCTTAAAAAGGGGTGAAATTGATCAAAATTAAAGAGAATAAAGATAAAAGTGCACTATATAAAAAATTAGGACGCTGGATATACTTGAAAAATAAAATCGGGATGTTGGATTTAACTTTAACCTTAAAATAATTTGAAGTGAGGTAAATAAGAGGAGGAGGAGAGATAGCATTTAAGAGGACAATGGAATCTGTTTTTTTTTTAAATATATAATTAGATGGGATCTTTGTTTTTTTATATATAATTGTTTGTTGGGACGGCACTTTCAGCCATTGTTTTTGTCTACTTTTTCTCTTGTTCACGTTTGTATGTATGCGGAAGGGTGTTGGGGTCGCAACATGGAAAGCTTTGCCTTAACCGCTGTCGCGACTTCCCTCGTCCTGAGCTTTATGTCTCAGATGACAAGAAAGACGATGGAAGTTGGAAGATTATTTGCAGCAACTCGCTCCCACTCTCTCTCACCAAAGGCTCTGTTTGGTTCAATATGGAGGGGAGGATAGAGAAGGTTGCGAACTTTATTCAGTAAGTGGGGAGAAGAGCTAATTATAAGTTGAGAAATATTATATATATATATATATATATATGAGATACAAATAACTGTAGATTAAAAAGCTGGTTAACATTGGTTAAAAGTAATAAATATGTATAAAAAATATAATTAATTTGCCAAAAGCATTCTTTATTTATGAAAAATGTGGCTGGGAATGTGAGAGAGAATGAATGCAAAAAGAGACGAGAGAAAATGAGTAAAACAAGATAGATGCAAGAAACATGTAATCAATTGAGGGTAAAATTGCAAAAAAAAAAAATGATGCCTTAAATATTTAGACATAATAGAGATAAAAAAAAAGAACAAATTCATCATTCAAAGAATTGTAGCTTGTGAAAAGTAACATGGGGGTGTAATATTTATATCAAAATTATCATTTTTAAATTTCTGGATCTCAAAAACCTATTGCCTCATCTATATAATACTACTTTCTCCAACTCTTAATATAAGACCTAGTTGATTAATTTAGATAGATTAAGAAGTTACTAAATTAAGTGAGACAAAGTAATTTGAAGAAAAACGATAAATATAAATACTTTAAAAGTAATTTATTAACTTCCTTGATCTTTCAAAATAAATTAACTAGATCTTATACTAAGGACGGCAAGAAGTAATATAATAACGTTATTGATTACCAACCCACTTCTTCTCTCCGTCTCTCTACACGTTCTTCCCATTTGTCCGTTTGTGAGGTGAAATTTAAAATTTGATAAAAATCCTGGTAAAATTTGAACAAAGTTAAAAAAAATCGTTCATTTCAAATTCACAACAAAATATTAGTATTAATAATTTTGATAATGATAACAATTTGGAAGTTAAATAAATTTTAACAATATTCTATTCCACATGAAAACTTTGACAGCTTCAATGTATAGCATCCAAAACACAAGTAAATTTAAAACATTTGAGATGTTGCAATCTTCGTCATTTTCGGTGTGTGAAAGCACGACTATCCATATCTTATTTGGATGGTCAGAATTTAATTTTTTTATTTTTATTTATTTAAAATAATTATTTTAATATGGATAAAATCTAAAATAAAGATAATCTCTTAATTATTATTTTTTTCAAAAAATAATTTTTCCATTTAGAAAATTAATTAAAGATTTCAAGTCTGGACTGTTTAAACCGGTCCAAATTTGATGAGTTTAATGTGCAAAGGGGTCCCCGGAACTGGTGGCTTGGCGTCATAGCAATTGTTGTGGAAGTGGGAATACTGTACATCGTCATGCGCAGAATCTGCCAAAACCTCCCGTGTTTCATGTTTGCTCCTCCTTACTGGGGTTCTCTCTATATATATACATATGGAATAAAGCTATGCCAAAACCATGCAAAATGTGAACTCTTGATATCCATCACACAATGGGTCCACTTGTTACCTAACTGCTCCTCCTTTTCTTTGTTTGGTATGCTTCAATCTGTCTCAGTTCCAGTATGTCTGATGAGTATTCCATTCGGAATATAGATCTAGACACGTTCACCTCTGAAAAAGAAGTCTTCCATCTTTTCCAAATGTGGAAGGAGACTCAACGAGAATACCAAACCCTAGAAGAGGAGATACATAGATTTCCTGTTTTCAAAAGCAATTTGAAGTACATCAGAGAGAAAAATGCAGAAAGGAAGTCACCCAGTGACTACTGTTTGGGCCTGAACAAATTTTCTGATATGAGTTATGAAGAGTTCAGCAAAATCTACTTACATGAGACAGACGAACCCATGATGGAAAGCAACAATAGCAAAATAGCATTGAACGACATATCCTGTCCTAACGCACCTTCTTTCGATTGGAGAACCGAAGGAGCTGTAACCCATGTTAAAAACCAAAACCCATGTGGTAAGTCTAAATTCACTTTTTTCTTTTGCTTTTGCATTATCAGCTAACTGTGGTATATGACATATGCTTAATAGCAAATAAAATTCATGTTTATAGGCACTTGTTGGGCATTCTCTGCAACTGAGCTATGGAAGGAATAAATAAAATAGTCTCAGGACAGCTTCTGGCTCTTTCTGAACAGCAACTCATATCCTGCGATCAGAAAAGCAAAGGTTGCAAGGGAGGTGGGTGGTACGTTAACGCATTTCGATATGTCAACAACAATAACGGTATTGCATCAGAGAAGGATTATCCATATACAGCTGACAACAGTGTTTGCAATAACGCATTGGTTAGTGTTCATGCCTGTGTTAACTAATTGGGTTGTTTAAATATATGTATTTCTTTAACTTTTATTTTATTTTGATGTAGCCACAAAAGAAATCTGCTACTATTGAGGGCTATACTTATTGGTGTCACAATCCTGTGTCCGAAAGTTCTCTTCGTTGCTTAGTTTTCCAGCAACCTGTTAGTGTTTCCCTATTTGCGAGCCGAGATTTTCAGTTGTATAATGGTGTAAGTAATGTTTTCATTAACTGACCATCCAAAAGACACGTTCTTAAGGTAGTTAATAGTTGTTTTCTTAACTTTGACAGGCAATATTTAAGGGGGGATTGCTCCGGAATTGATTCATGCAAACATGACCATGCTGTATTAATCGTCGGATACGGTTCATTTGGTGATAGCCAAGATTATTGGATTGTCAAAAACTCATGGGGATCTAACTGGGGACAACATGGTTACATCTTGATCAAAAGAAACACAGGTACTACGCAAGGAGTATGTAACATAAATTGTTCTGGTGCATTCCCAACCAAAAAAACACATGCTTCGAAGCTTGCTGCTCCCATATGAAGCACAACCTTCAGCAATAATCTACAGTTGTCTGAAGTGCGCCAGTTGTGTGTTGTACTATGGTTGTATTGGGCATAAATAAATGGCATACCATTTGCCGTTGAATAAAGCCTAGCAATCCATTGTGGTATAAAGTACACTAGTTCTGTGTTGTACTATGTATGTGTTGGGTATAAATCAGTGTCTTGTATTATGCATATATTGGGTATCAAGAAATGGCACACGATTTGCTACGAAATAAAGCTTATGTGTTTAATCAAGAATAAAAGCTCTACGTACAAACACAGACACACCTTGCCTTCTTAACTTCATAACGTGAAGTAATCCCCCAAGAAAACTTGAGTTTTGTTTTTTAATGGGTTGATAAAAATTACTAAAATTGTAACCCAAATAAATTTTTACTAGCCCGAGACAAAATGGGATTGACATAAAATGGAATTAAAGAGATAAAAATCACAAAATAAAGTGGGTTGACATGGTTTTATATATTATAATGTAAATACCTTTGGATACTGATATTTACTAGTATTTCATATGAAATTAACTAAGACTCTAATTTTCCTACCAGCATCTTGTGAATCACTGACGTTTAATAGGCACTCCCTTTGAATTAATTCATAATTTCTTATACTCTTGATCAAGAGACAGAACCAATAATGAATCTTTCGATAATCGTGAGGTTTATAGGTATCTTCCTCTATCCTACAAGTATATAGTATTGAGCTAATATTATTGAGTTGGGATAGCAGTGAAACCTTACAAGGGAGTATGTTGTAAAAACTCTGAATAATAATAATAATAATAATAATAATAATAATAATAATAATAATAATAATAATAATAATAATAATAATAATAATAATAATATATATGTTAACGAAGACCAATCTATTTATGGCATGGAATGGAATCTTTTGTGTGTGGGTGTGTGTAAATTATTTGTAGTTGTTCCATCGTTTGTTTAATTTGTTTTTTTTCTTTTTGGACTCACATCGTTTGTTTAATTAGCGAGGCAGCATTCAAGGCTCCAAGTTTTTGTCCTCAAGCTTAATGTCTTTCCAAGCAATAAAGCTTATGTGTGTTTAATTAAGAAGGAAAGCTCTATATACCTGTACTTCATCTTCTGATCTTCATACTAAATTAGGGTTATTTGTTGTGCTGGGAGATGTGAAGAAGTAAGTAATCCCCCAAATAAAAAACTTGAATTTTTCTTACTCCATGAGTAGCGGCATCAAGGGAACTTTCAAAATTACCTTTTTATTTTTTTTGCCTTCTCCCCATATATGAACTTCGGCCACACCAGTAAAAGAGGGGAGTAATTTATTTCAGGGAGAATATATAGGCAAAGTGGAAGGGTGGGGTGACAAATGGGTGAAATGAAAATTTGCCAACCATTTTTGTGAGTGTTCGAAGCCACAAAAATAAATTTCTACTCTCAAAATAGTTTTTTCAGCATATAAGAGGCTAGCCAAATTATTTAACCCGAAAATAATAGAAGAAAATAGGAAAGGGGAATTTTCATGATAAATTAAAGGGAAAATTAATCATTGAGTCCCCACAATTTTGATTCATTTGTAATCCAATCCCTACACTTTAACTCTGTAACATATTATCTTTCCATACCAATAGAGTTATTCTAAATAACTTCAAACCACTAAAACTGGGTTTCATCTTGAGATTTTTTTCCTTTCGAAAACATATCCCGAACATATTGTTCAATCCTATTTAAGAAATGAGATTTTTTGAAAAATTACAAACTTTTCAAACTTAGTTTTGATGAAACCTATCTAGTGGTTCAAGTACTTGATTTGACCTTTTTATAAAATTGGTAAAATTTTCTTAAGACCCAAGCTCTAACATTGTCAAAGCCCAATACTAAGCAAATAAGTCAACACAAAAATTCTTCTACTTGAGCAACTTCTCTATCCCTAGGCACTATGCATACACTTGCCCTTGCATAATAAGATAAGTGAATATAATTAGCTATCATTACATCTATTTTACCACCATACAGCCATAAGAGCAGATAGCACTCACTTGCAAGCTACAATCGCCATTACTTTCCTCTTTCCAGCCCACATTCTCTTTACATAATTACATATATTTATGTACAAAATTACAGCCACACATGGCCACCAAATACTATATAAGTATAAAAATAATATTTATATCATAATAGCTAAAAACTTTTTTGGAGTCTCCATCTTCGAATCTTCCCTATAAGCCTGCCTTTCCTTTGAGGAACTTGCTCTTACTGTTAATAAATGGCAGAAAAATGGGTGAGATTCAGAAGAATCTCAATAGCAAAACATCAACTCAATATATAATGTGCAATGATAATTAATTAAGCATGTAAATAGACAATGTAATTCAGAAGAACACCTTACAAGCAGATACACCTGGCCACGACACCAACTCAAGCCAGGATATTACATGTTCAAAGACATACAGGGCAAATAAACATTCAAGCAACCAAGCACAAACTATATAAGTGTCAATAAGTTTCACTACCTTTCCTTTCTTCTTCCAAGTTACCTCCTCTTGCTTGAACTTTCTTTAGTTTTGCTTTCTCCTTTGTTTTGTTAGCAATTATCAAATTCATAATACATTTATAGGAACAAATTAATACTTAACTTGGGTACATTACCATTGCATGAGAAATCTCTCAAAATCCGCAAACTCTATCTCTTTCATTTATTGTTAACTCCAAGAAATTCATATCTTTTTATCACATTTTCATCCTTAACTTCCTCTTTTAGGAGTTAAATTGTGCATAGAAATAGAACCATTAAAGAAAATGTGTTTAGTTTAGCTTTTTGGAAAGTTGTTTAGAACTTACACGTTTCTCTTTTAAGTAGGAGAATGGAGAACAACGTTTTCAAGCTATGTAAGACACCCTCGAAGAGTAGATTAGCTAGAAGGAAGCATGGAAGAGCTCTGAAAACTAATGCAAAAAACTCTCATTTTCCAATACATTTGTTGTTGGTTCACCACAACCACGGCTACAGCGAATGCAAGGAAAATGCAGCCTAAGAGGGCTGACATTTGTGGCTATTCGCTGTTGATTCACCACGGCTAATCCACAGTGAATGAAGAAAATCTGCTGCTATGCATTTCAATTACTAATGTGCTGTTAGAGTTAAATGGAAGGAGAAAAGCGATGGTTTTGGGGCATTCTGGACTGTTGGGCCTATCTTGGGAGAGCTTTGGTGTGCTAGGGCAAGGATTTTGGTGGAGATTGAGTTGAGATTTGAAGATTGGAAGAGATTTTGGCTTTACACCTTGGTTCTTCTTCTCCATTCTCCTTCTCCTTCCTCTTGTTCAATGTTTTTGCTGAATATATGTATCTTCTCATGGGAGTTCCGAACATGTGTGGCTAAAGTTTTCATTCTAGGATTATTTTGAACCCTTGTATGGATTAACTCTTGATTCCTCCTCTCACTTTGTGATTAATGATATATGTGTTTATTTTACCCCTTGCTTAATGCTTCTAAGTGCTGGATCACCATTTAGATGTTATGTTCATTTGAGTGATGCTTGAGAGGGCTAGCTTAAGTATAGAACTTGGGTAAAATTGTGTAAGAACTTAAAGTTTACTTTGTTGAATGGATAGTTTTGTTGGTAAGATAGAGATATACTTGCTAACCTTACATAGTCACCTTAGGATTAGAGCTTAAAATTGGGTTTTATTAATTGTAACAAGAGATTCAGCAATTAATAGAATTAAACACTTGTTCTTGACTTGAAAGCTTTAACAAATACATTTTGAATCCTAGACTAACACATATTTTCATTAAGAACAATTGTGAGAGGAGATAAATCAAAGGTTATGAAATACAAGGGGAATGAATAATCCTGGGTCCTTTTATCCCTTGAAGTTTAAGAATCAATCACTTTCATTACTTGAAGTTAACTTGCCCTTAATTGTCGCTTTGGGGTTACTCCAAAAATTAACTGAATTAATGCAATATAGTGCAAAACTCGGGTCGTATTCACTTTGAGGAGCCGAAAACGAAATTAAATCCTAGTAAATAAACGCAAGTAACCTAAACTATATAAAAGGGACTTTTGATTTTGAAAAAATGTTAATTAAATCCTACGAATCAAATTGAAATTAAAATACTTTTTTTTTTTGTTTTTATATAAAAGTGATTAAAATGAATGAAGATTAAAGAAATGAAAATGAGACATACAAATAACAATAATAATAATCAATCCTCCAATTCAACAACTCAGGCAATCATCACCCTAAAAGATGTGGGAGTTAAAACAATGAATTAAGAATTATAATTAAACTTTTAATCCAACAACCGAGCCACCTCGAGTTGCCACAAAATATTTTCCTAAAATCCCAACTTACTAACTGCAATCAGAATAGTAAAATGGGATTAAGGATGCTAAAAGCCAATGCTTAATTAGAATTCTTAAATCCAAATTAACAGAATTATAGCTAGCAAGAGACAATATGATCCAAAATTCCAAGCCACCTTAGAAAATCACAATATATTAACTCCAAAATCAATATGAATGTTATAACCACAACATCATAATTGAAATCAAAGCTATAAACAGCCCAATATCAAATGCTAAACAATAATCCAGCCACAATAATTTCCACAGATAATCAAATTTAACAACACAAAATTTTCTAATAATTAGAATAACTATCCTAAGACCTAGGAATTGTTAAACAATTATTAGACAGGAAATTAAAGCAACTAAAACTCCCCTTTGATGATCTAAGCTCCTGCCATTATTGTTGAATTAGAGAATT